ATGCAAAAAAGAGCAGCATATGAAATTGAATGTATACTATTGATTATAATGGTATTACTCTGATTTAAACTGTTTCTAAAAAGGCAAAGTTTGAGAAACTTAAAGGAAATATACCAAAATGCAAACTAACATAATTTTGTTAGTGTCAATAAGAACTATGGACTAATGTTTCCCCTCTCATAAATATTCTGTAACATGACTTTATTACTTATAATAAAATTAAAAAATGTAACCATAATTATATACATCTAGTGCCAAAATATGTTCACACTGTTTGACTTAGAAATTTCTTTTAATTGGCCTAAAGGAAGTAATTCTAGAGAAAGACAATGTCCTACACACAAGGGTATCAATCACAGATTTACCTATAATTGCAAAAAAAACCAAAAAACAAACTAAAATCACTCTCAAACTCTAGATATCAAAGTAACAGAGAAGTGGATTATTTACCCAAGATAATAGTAATATAAAAAACAACATGAAAGCCGAAACCGGTTTGGCTCAGTGGATAGAGCGTCAGCCTGCGGACTGAAAGGTCCCAGGTTCGATTCCGGTCAAGGGCATGTACCTGGGTTGCGGGCACATCCCCAGTAGGAGATGTGCAGGAGGCAGCTGATCGATGTTTCTCTCTCATCGATGTTTCTAACTCTCTATCTCTCTCCCTTCCTCTCTGTAAAAAATCAATAAAATATATTTAAAAAAAAAAAAAAAACAACATGAAAAATTTTTTTATAAGGTTAACAGGAAAAAAGGAGATGAAATATACGTATACGATGACTGCAATTTTGTAAAAATATGTATCCTTAAGGAAAATTACTAGAAAAAAGTACATTAAAATGATGTTACTGATTGTGAGATACAGGTTACAGATTTACAGACTTTCAATAATATCAGACTATATTTTTCTTCAGAATGAGGGGACCAAATCCGAAGGCTATTTTGCATAGTATTTAAAGTGTGAAGGTAGGGTTTAGCATCAGATAGACATAGCTTCAAACTGATTTTTACCATCTTTTAGTTGTCATTGTTTTAATTTACCCTCCAGGAATGAAGACATTATCAGTAATTATTACTGTAGTTGCTTGTGCCCCAGAATAAACCAACCAACTACAGTGACCAAGTCAAAGACCACAAATAAGCCAATATAGAATAACAACACAGCCCCTCAGCACAAGAATTATTTGAAGAGCTCCTGCACACCTACAGATCTTTCAGATCACTGCTACCCTGCCAATTCAGGTTGTATTCCAACAAACACTGCTCTTCAGGGTGTCTTCCAGCCACTAACCAGAACCAGTTAATAAGAACAGTTAACCTTTTGTTTTTTAGCCTTGTCTATTTCAGCTGTAAATCTTAAGCCATAGGAAAGAATGTCACAAAAGAAGAACTCGCTGCAGCCTAAACAGAAAATAAAGGAAAACCCCAGTAGACGTCTATCATTCACACACAAAACCAGGGGAGAGCGCGAACGCAGTCCCCCACTACCACAAATTATGCAGTCGAGTTTCCCACATTTGGGGAAATCGCAGGGGTCAGCACATCCGGAGTGCAATGGATAAGCCTCGCCCTGGGAAAACCACCTTCGTGATCATGGTATCTCCCCTGCCAGGTAAGTATGAGTTGGGCCTGTCCCCGGCACTTCCTGCTGCCGCGTACACCACTGAACGCTTCGGGTCACTCCTGCAACCACTCTAATCGGCCTTCATCTACATATAGCGACTATAAACTCATATTTTCGTACTATATCTTAGTATTGGTAACAGCGGAACATAATGCCTATCTTCCAAGGGAACACGGTTCCCAATAGCCCTCAATCTGTAATCTACATACTCCGCCTCCCGGCGTTACGTCACGCGCACCTCGAGGGGCGGGATCGGCAGCTGCGCACTATCGCGAAGGACTGGAAGATGGGTTCCTTCTCCCAGTCGCCCGATTTAAGTGGCGTCTACCAGGCTATTTTCCCGACCCAAGTCTCCCCTCTCCCAACTTTCGCTGTAGCCGGAGGTCTTCGGATCTCCCCGGGTGGAGTCCCTTGAGCAAACGGACACGAAGCCGTTGTAGTCGCGAGCCGGCTTCACAGGTCCCTGGAGACCAACTGTCCACGCCAGCCCCGTCCCGCTTCCGCCTAAGAAGGGAGGAGCAGGGCATCCAGTCGAGAATGCCGTGGCCGCCTGCTAGTGGGTGTATCGCAAAGAGCGAGTTTTGGAATCCAAGATCTGGACTGAAATTCAGAGTTCACATATTATGCTTTCTTTCTTTCCATTTCTCCCTGCTCTACCAAAAACCGAAAAATTACTGGGTTTTTCCAAAGGTCACAAGTGACTAACGATCATGAAAGTGCACATACTCTGCAAGCCCTCAGCACCATCAGCAGTGGCCTTTTCTTGGAACACCTAACTACATGCTCACCTCTGCTCTTTCCCCAGCTTCTTTCAAGGGCTTCCTTCTCCTCTCTTGCTCTAATTAGGGCAATCCTTCAAAGGCCAGTCCTTGGCTAGTGTTTTTCTCAATTGGCATGCTTCCTTCTTCAAAAATCAATCAATCAATCAATAGATAAATAAATAAATAAATATGCACCCACTTTTCTGATGCCAACTTTGGTATGAATTCAACTAGGCCTTTCTATAGCTCACTTCGAATGTTAATCACACCTTTGTCTCAGCCCCAGCAGAGATCTATAATATTCAAACAGCATGCTCCCAATCTCGGCTGCTGGTTCACTAAACGGCTTGCCATCCCTTTAATATAAACAGCCAACAGTAGACTCCAAAGGAATTTCAGACTTACTGTAACTAAACACTGCTTGGAGTGGGAATGGCAGAGCATCTTCTGGACTAGACTTTCAATAGACCATAACCAAAAGCAAGTCCAAATACCAGCGTCTGCTACAATAAACTAGTCTTTGGAAGGGTCATTGAATGAGCTGCAAACTCAGAAAGCTATTTTTTGTTGTTAATCCTTACTGGGGGATATTTTCCATTGATTTCTTTTAGAGGGAGTGAAAGAGAACAAGAGGGAGGGAGGGAAACAGGGGAGAGAAAGAAACATTGGTGTAGGAGAGACACATCGATTGGTTGCCTCCCACATGCTCCCCTACAGGGGCCAGGGATTGAACCTGCAATCCACGTACATGCCCTTGACCGGGAATTGAACCCTTGACCCTCCTTTAGTGCAAGGGCCTATGCTCAGTGGTGTTCCACTGAGGAACACCAGCCAGGGCCAGAAAGCTATTTTGTGATCTCTTCACAGTCACAGTTGTATGACCTGGAATTTTCCCATTTAAACTCCATAGTAATCACCATATTTTGCATATTCTTTCCCCTCCATTCCCATGCATTCACCACTTCCCAAAATATCTGTTTTTGGATTTTTAGAAATAGCAGCATAGCCTGGCCAGCATGGCTCAGTGGTTGAGCGTCAACCTATGAACCAGGAGGTCACAGGTTTCCCAGTCAGACACATGCCCAGGTTGCATTGTGGAGCTTGCAGGAGGCAGCCAATCAATGATTCTCTCATCATTGATGTTTCTATCTCTCACCCTCTCTCTTCTCTGAAATATATATATATATATATATATATATATATATATATAATACAGTAATACATTTTCATGACTTTAGGTTAGGAAATGGTTTCTTTTTGTAATATATTTTTATTGATTTTACAGAGAGGAAGAGAGGTATAGTCAGAAGCATCAATGAGAGAGAAACATTGATCAGCTGCCTCTTGCACGCCCCCTATTGGGGATCGAACTGCAACCAAGGTACATGCCCTTGACCTGATGAATCAAACCCGGGACACGCTTCAGTCTTCAGATCAGTGCTCTATTCACTGAGCCAAATCAGTGAACACAGGAAATGGTTTCTAATATCTGACATCAAAAACACAAGTGACGCCGAAACCGGTTTGGCTCAGTGGATAGAGCGTCGGCCTGCGGACTGAAGGGTCCCAGGTTCGATTCCGGTCAAGGGCATGTACCTGGGTTGCGGGCATATCCCCAGTGGGAGATGTGCAGGAGGCAGCTGATCGATTCTCTCTCATCGATGTTTCTAACTCTCTATCTCTCTCCCTTCCTCTCTGTAAAAAATCAATAAAATATATTTAAAAAAAAAAAAAAAACACAAGTGACAAAGAAAAACCTAGATAAAAGACTTAACCAAAATTACAAACGTTTGTTCTTCAAAGGACACTGACAACCCACAGAATGAGAGAAAATATTTGTAAGTCGTATATATATATCTAATAAGGAATTTGCATCTAGAATATATAAAGAATGATTACACCTCAATAGAATGACAACCCAATTTGATATTTAAAAATGGGCAAAAGACCTAAGTAGATTTTTCTTCAAAGAAAATATACAAATAGCCAATGAGCACATGAAAAGATGGTTAGCACCATTACTCATTAGGGAAATGTAAATCAAAACCACCACGAGATATTACTTCACACCCAGTGGGATGGCTAGAATTAAAATGACAGATAATACAAATGTTGGGAGGGTGTGAAAAAAACTGGAACCCTTATACACTACGGTAGGAATGTAAAATGGTGCAACCACTTGGAAAACAGGCAGTTTCTCAAAAAGTTAAACATGGAGTTACTCTATGACCCAGCAATTCCACTGCTAGCCACATACCCAAGAAATATGAAAACGTTTGTCCACACAAAAACTTGTACATGAGCCTTGTCCATTAGTTGGTTAGAGCATAGTCCCCATACACTAAGGTTGTGGGTTCAATCCCCAGTTAGGGCACTTATAAGAATTAACCAATGGATGGAACCGCAGATGTTCTCTCTTCCTCCTTCCCTTTTTCTCTCTTTCAAAACCAATAAAAAAAAAAAAATTAAAAAAAAAATGCAGCCTGGCCAGTGTCGCTCAGTGACTGGTCAACAGAATAATTACACCCTACTCTGCTAGACAATTTGGTATATGTGAATCAACATGCATGCAGTAACCCTTGCTCACACCAGAATACACTACTGTTGAACATAGAAAACAGGGGAAAGCAGAAACGCAGCCCCACGCTACCACAAATTATGCAGGTGAATTTTTCACATTTGAAGAAATCACAGAGGTCAGCACACCTGGAATACAATGAGTGAGCCTCACCGCGGGAAAACCACCTTCATGACCATGGTATCTCCCCTGCCAGGTAAGTATGAGTTGCTGGAGATTCCAAAACTAAACACATACAATCACACTCTTCATGCTATTCCTATACCATCACTTACAAAATAAAGACTTCTCCAAATCTCAGTAAAAGCCAGACAATAACATTTTGGATACTGTAATATTTGCAAAAATCACAAACGTATGTACAATGTGAACAAGACACTGCGCTTATTTACATAGTAAAGAGCACCTTTCAGTGTCATAACTGTCGCTCCAGACAAACCTGCCTTTGGGTTTTGTTGATGGGGTAGGCTGAGTAATAGCCCACCAGAAATATCTAAGTCCTAATCACTATTATTGCTGTACTTTGTGGCAAAAGAGATTTTGCAGATGCGATTAAAGATTTGAGAAGGAAGAGTACTTTGAATTATCCAGGTGGACTTAATGTAACCACAGGGTCCTAATAGAATGGAAGAGGGAAGCAGGCAGGCCAGACAAACAAATGTAAGGACAGGACAGAATGATAACAGCCTAGAGAAGTTGCTAAATTGCTGACTGTGAAAGTGGAGAAAGGGACAACAAACAAAGAATATATAAATGTAGTCTATTTTAAAATTTTTTATTTGAATTGAGAAATATCCATGAGAAACATAAATGTGCTGTTCCAGTTATTGATGTGTTCATAGCATATCAGGACAACACTCTAAGCAACCAATCTCATTGAGTTGTGGGTCAGGACTTAAGACTCTTGAAACAGCAGAACAGGTAAGGGGGCAAATTCTCCTCTATAAGAAAGGTAGGCCTGGGGCAGGGGGCAGTAGCGGGCTGGAGGGGGGTGAATGGGGGAAAAAAGGGGAACATATGTAATACTTTCAACAAAGAGACTGTTGAACCTCACAGGGAAGGCAGGGGAGGGTAGGTGCGAAGAGATCAAAGAACTTGTATGCATATATGCATAACCCATGGACAGACAATGGGATGATGAGAGCCTGGTGGGGGGAAAGGGAGCAGGCTGGAAGAGGTTGATGGGGGAAAAAGGAGGATCTATGTATGCAATACTTTCCACAAAGATTAAGAGAGAAAAAAAAGGAAACAAGATTTATATAAAAGGAAGGTAGCCCTGTAACTTCACTTCTGATCTCCATAACCACTTATAAAGCTGTCTTGCTTCCTTGGCAACTTTCTGCAATGATAAAACGCTTCAAAGCAAAAAGAAGAACCTCAAGATCTTTTTTTCCCAACCTTGTTGATTCAGGGGAGAGCGCGAACGCAGTCCCCCACTACCACAAATTATGCAGTCGAGTTTCCCACATTTGGGGAAATCGCAGGGGTCAGCACATCCGGAGTGCAATGGATAAGCCTCGCCCTGGGAAAACCACCTTCGTGATCATGGTATCTCCCCTGCCAGGTAAGTATGAGTTGACAGTGTTGCCTGGCACTTACTCCCCAGATTCAAATCACTTTCAAGATAGGATCACTTTTATCATGCATCCTACTGACCCTCTTAGTTCTGCAGTAGAGTTTTCAAACTATAGTTACCACCCAGCAATAATTTGTATATCTGGATACTTCAAGATCTTAGGAAATATATGTCTGTTGTAAGCATGACCAGCAGTCACTGCGCTTATTTACATATTCCACACCCCTTTTGATGATCTCACCGAGTCCTTTTCCTAGTATAGTCGGTGGTGCTGTTCAAATAAAACAAAGGTAAAGACACTCGGCAGATTTAAAGATAAACGATATGAATTTGTTCTTTCCTTCAAGGGCTTGGAGCTAATGACATCACCGTGATGCCTGGTGCAGGTTATCAAGGTGTTCTGTACTTAACTGAAAAAGCAAGTCTAAAAAGATGAAATTTGAAAGAAAAGATGAAATTTTGCAAAACTACATTTAAAAATCCAGTACAAGTATTGCTAAAAATAGGTAGTCAGTTCGAAGTTCCAAGGACATGTACAAAACATGCTCTTTCACATATGTGGCAAACGATCACCCTTACTTGAAAGACCAGTTGCACAAACACTAATTCTAATTTTAAACCGAGAAAACTAGGGAAAAGCTCACCCGACAACCCCTCCTACACTCACACATTTGAAACAGTCAAAGAGCTCCCCCCAGTGGGAGTGTGATCATGGCCCTCACAGTTGGAAATCCACCTTCATGATGAGTGTCTTCCGTCCCGAGCAAGAATAAGTGGTGTTTTGACACATCCTTAAACCTTTACGATCTCGGCACTGCAAGGGTCAACCTTTTGGTTTTTCACAGGTGCCTATGAAATCCAGAACAAGACTACCAGAGAATCCATCCTACAAGAAACTCCAGCGCCCTCTTAAAATCATAATACAACTCGAAAAGAGGATATCCTATCTTAGGCAATGGTATAGATATAGATATAGATATAGATATAGATATAGATATAGATATAGATATAGATATAGATGTAGATATAGATGTAGATATAGAGGTAGATATAGAGGTAGATATAGAGGTAGATATAGAGGTAGATATAGAGGTAGATATAGATATAGCTATAGATATAGCTATAGATATAGATATATATAAAATCAACCTTCTCAACCCTCTCCTTCCTGCATCATTGTAAATTAGAATTGGAGTTTCCAAGTTTACCTGTTCTTTGTCTCTAGAAGATTCACACCAGAATCACTCTATTTTCCAAAGATTTTTTTAAAAAATATTTTATTGATTTCAGAGAGGAAGAGAGAGATAAAAACATTAACAATGAGAATCATCGATGGGCTAATAACTCCTACATGCCCCTCACTGGGGATCAAGCCTGAAACCAGGCATGTACCCTAATCAGGAATGGAACTGTGACTAGGTCCTGGTTCTTAGGTTGATTCTCAACCACTGAGCCCCACCAGCTGGGGTCAGCTCTTATTTTTATATTCCAGGAAAGTTATTTTACTCTCACTGTTTAACAATAACAAAAAGAATAACAAAAAATCCTTGTATACCTTGTTTGAGTGGAGAATTTTAATGTTTTTTTTTCACTAATCATTGTAAATTTTTTTTTATCCTCACCCGAGGATGTGTTTATTGATTTTAGGGAGAGAGAAACATCCATCAGTTGCATCCTATATGTGCCCTGACCAGGAATCGAACCATGACCTCCTGGATCATAGGTTAAAGCTCAACCACTGTGCCACGCCAATGTGCTTGATCAAGAGTTTTTTAAAAAATATATTTTATCAATTTTATGAGAGAGAGAGAGAGAGAGACACGAAGGGAGAAGCATCGATGAATGTGAGAGCGAAACATGAATCAGCTGCCTCCTGCACACCCCAACCCAGGAGATCAAGCCCTCAACTCAGGCATGGGTCCTGATCAGGAAACGAACAAGCAACCTTCCAGTGCACCAGACTATGCCCAGCTGAGCCACACCGGCCAAGGCCAGAGTTTTTTCAAATTAAATCACATCACATATGTAAAACAACTTTTCTCTGGCACTTTACAATTGTAGGCACTTTTTATTTTTTTCTTTCTTTTTAAAAAAATCTTTATTGTTGAAAGTATTGTCTATGTCCCCCCCCCCCCCCAATCAACCCCCTCCAGCCCACCCCACCCTTACCCCAAGCCCTCACCACCCCACTGTCTGGATCCATGGGTTATGCATATATGCATACAAGGTCTTTGGTTGATTACTTCCCACCCACCCACCCTCCCCTGCCTTCCCTCTGAGATTATTTTATTTTTAAAATGTTTTTATTGATTTTTCAGAGGGAGAGAGAAAGAGAAATACTGATTTGAGAGAGAAAAAAAATCGATCAGCTGATTCCTGCACACACACCCTCCACCCCCCAAGGAGGATTGAGCCTGCAACCTGGGCAGGTGCCCTGACCAGGAATTGAACTAGGAACACTTTTGGTACACAGGGTTCCAACTGAGCCACACCTAGAGCTGTAGGCACTTTTTAATTTTCTTTTTAATTTTAATTTTTTAAAATATATTTTATTGATTTTTTTACAGAGAGGAAGGGAGAGGGATAGAGAATTAGAAACATTGATGAGAGAGAAACATCAATCAGCTGCCTCCTGCACACCCCCCTACTGGGGATGTGCCTACAACCAAGGTACATACCCTTGACCGGAATCGAACCTGGGACCCTTGAGCCCGCAGGCTGATGCTCTATCCACTGAGCCAAACCGGTTAGGGCTGTAGGCAGTTTTAAAAAAAGTCTCACAGCATTAGCACTTTGTTGAGCTAGGTTTCATTCAACTGAATACACATATTAGAACATTTTTAAATGGAGAAACTAAGATTTATTACATACCTTCTCTGTGCCAAATACTTAATATGCATTCATTTAATCTTTCCAACAACCCCATGAAATAGTAACCTTCTACTTGCAGGTAAGAAACCTGAGTAAACTTGCTGAAAGTCTCACAGTTGGTAATTTCCGGAGATGTGATAAAAACCGAATTTGTATGACTCCAAAGCTTATATCCATCATCATGCCTCTCAAACTTTTTCAACAAGTAACCCCCCTTGCAAAGAAAAATAAAACCATATACCTAGGAGGCGTTGGGAGACTACTGAAGTGTCCAGTTTAAACAGGATCTTTCTTCAAAGTCTTTATCTTAAAATGTATTTTTTATGTTTGCAGTTCACTCTACAATATATTAATACTTATTCAATAGAAAATGGTTTACCAATTAAATTACTCAACTCTTCTCTCTCTCTCTAAAAAAACCAAAAAAAAAAAACTAAAAAAAACCCCTAGCTGGTTTGGCTCAGGGGATAGAGCGTCGACCTGTGGACTGAAAGGTCCCAGGTTCGATTCCGCTCAAGGGCACATGCCCAGGTTATGGGCTAGATCCCGAGTAGGGGACATGCAGGAGGCAGCCGAACAACGATTCTCTATCATCGTTGATGTCTCTCTCTCTCTCTCCCTTCCTCTCTGAAATCAATAAAAATATATATTTTTAAAAAAAAACATATTTGAGAAAACCTGATACTACAGGAAGGAAGATGCACCTTCCGTATAAATCCTATAGTTCTGTTAGTTCCTGGAGCCTGGCCTCATAAAC